TGTGTTGGGACATTATCCAACGACCTTATAATTGAAATAATCGTTGGATTATTATTAGTTTTCATCCCTGTATGCCAGTCCATGCAGCAAGCGCACCTATCTTCCGGGTTTTGTTGAAATCCTTTGCGTCTCATGAATAAACCTCTCACGACCAATTGCTGTTTCGTTTCTGAATCATAGAAATACTCTTGTACTCTTGCGCATCTTCGTCCAGATGGTGCTGTGCTATGCTCGGTATCAGTAAATACGAGAGATATCAGGCATTGGAGGCATAGAAAGAAAAAGAATCGGAAGGTTTTCAATGAACCCGAAGCGATAGTTAGAGGGATTGCCCAAGATAGACGTTTAGTTTGAGATCGGCACTGACGTCGCCCCCAAATTATATTTTGAAGATCTACCGTCCCTCATATACAAATTGCTCCCCTCCCGAACTTCATCCGTTGACCCAGTTACTTCTTCATCCGGATCCCCATAAATATGGAACATGGGTATATAGAAAAGCCCGAAGCAATATATTTGGTAGCCCGATTAGCAGTACGAGCCCATAAAGTATATCAAACTCTAGAGGCGCAATATGCTGAGCCTGTTCTCGTATAGCTGAGCGAAGGTATCCCATGTATTTGTTCAATTGCAAATATAAAATCATAGAGGCTCCGGATCCGTTGAAATTTTAAGGCATGGAAAATTTTGAGTACGAGCTTCCTGATCGACTAGTATATTAGCATGCATATTTGGATAAGTAATATATGGAAATCGGACTTAGCATCTCAGACTCACATTTCTGATTAGGTACTGATATGGTCATGATGTACTACCTCATGATCATGTCCATGATGAGTACTCTAGATATGCATATCGTGCGACAGTGGGTCATCGGAGCAATGATCCGATGTATTTGCAGCATTGTTGTTTATTCAAGACAGGACCTAATTCCATGTGCATATGTGGTTAACGTCGTAGAAGAGTTTTCAGATGAGAGGCGCTTCTTGAGAACAATATATTTGAGTTCCCATATTGGGGCCCAGCTCTTATATGCATGTATACGTATATGTATACAGTCATGACTGTAACAATTAATATCACCGAGAAATATGCAAATTATTGCTAGATAATGTCGCATGTTGAAACAAGGAAGGTGCGTAGCATCGGCTTCTAGAAGCGGAAACTACACATACATGTATGCGTAGTGTTGAGGAAATTGAAGTTCTATAAGCATTGACAGCGAGAGCGTTGAAGAAAAGGCCAAAACCCAGGAAAGATGTGCTGTATAATTCTCTGAGATGCATTGAAACCCGGAACTGGCATAGACATAGATGTCTTGGTGATCTAGAAATCAAAGGCTTCCTATTAAAAGCCCTTTGTCAGACAAGAATTTAGCCAGCTGGCTAAGAAGAACAAAATGCACTATACGGTGAGTTCACATATACACCTTTGTACATGTAGAAGCATTGAAACTGGATAAACACGCACGTGTGATATTAGGCAAAATCTCCGACAACATTATAGACCTATAAAGTCGTAGCCATTCAACTGCAATAAACATTAGCCGGGCACAGACATCTATTATATTGACTTGCGTATCTTTTCACTCGATCCAGAGGCCATTTGGCGTACCTAGGCTTAAAAAGTCTATCCGCGTTTTAAGCCGACTACCTAAAAAGGCAATATTATAACGTTGCCAAGATCTGATGCCCGAACTCTGGGCCCTAACTGGCCTTGCTGAAGAATTCTTCGCTGATATCCAGGGTGACGCCTAGTGCCGTGCGACCATATTCCATAACTCGTAATAGTTGACGTATTGATGTGCATTGGACGATATTGTAATGGGTGTGTTCGTCGATTGAACCTTTCAGGAACGGCGTATCGGTCCCGATCCCCTGTTCACCAGCCCTTCATATATGCATAAATATGTGTGATAAACCACAGGTGCCCAAGTACTTGGCCAGGCTTATCCTCTCCTCCAGTCAGCTCAACTCGAAAGGGGTAAAAGAAGACATTTGAACTTCCTCAGACCTTTTTCCAACTTGGACAACCAAATCAGAAACAACACTCTTTCTTGCTTGAAGAGAGCTTCTCTCTCAGTCCTGCTTCGTCTGATCAACCGATTCGAAAATACTTGCCTTACAAGATGTTTACCTACCTTATTCTCACAGTCCCTCTACTTCTATCTCTAGCCAACATGTCCTTGTACGCTGGGGCCGATCCAACGCCAGATGGTACCTGCGGCGGTGAAAATGACTACGACTGTACAATTGACTTTGGAAAGTGTTGTTCCAGTTCTGGCTGGTGGTAAGTCTGACACATAGCAAAGGAAATGAAGTGCTTAGCTGAAGTTCAAACTATATCAGTGGAGATTCGACTGCCCATTGTGGATTGGGTTGCCAACGTGAATTTACCCTGGGAAATGGTTGCACAAACAGCACAAGTTCGAATTCTTCCCCTGATGGTTCTTGCGGAGGTGCAGATGCATATGTCTGCCATTCGGCTGCCGGTGGAAAGTGCTGTTCAGCCTTTGGATTTTGGTAAGCAGAGATTTGGAAGCTCCTTCAACTTCATATACCATCTCTGGGAAAGGTGTAATCTAACCAAAACACAAAAATCAGTGGTGACACAATTGCGGATTACTGTGGAGCTGGTTGGTAAGTATCATACCATTTATATCCCACGGAGCTCTATACACTCCAGTGTGCATGCTGACAATTGATTCATAGTCAATCCAACTTTTCAGCACCAAACAGTTGCTCAACTGGTATTCACCCATCCCTAGATGGACAATGCGGAGAGGATCACGGGTCAACCTGCACAGGTGGCCCATTTGACGGCCAATGTTGCTCTGCGGCTGGATTTTGGTAAGAATGAACAATTTCCTCCTAATATAGATTATGATCTGACAATACTACTCATAAAGTGGGACAACTGCTGCGCATTGCACATTATCAGCAGGATGGTAAGTCGAGAAATGTTTGATTCCAAGATGCAATAGGTCACTGACGTATTGTGTAGCCAACCGGAATTTGGGGAGGAATGCGAATAGTCCAGAGTTGAGAGTGAAGCCCCGGATTTCGGATTAGCTTTGTCATGTATATCGCCATTCGCGGTGGTGTCTTGTTTTTCTTTGGGATCCTTTGCGGGTGATGTCGCAGTACAGTGGATCCTTCATGTATTTTTTCGTGAAGCAAGTAAGATATAGGTTCATAGAGGTTTTGGCGATGGTTGATTATGGTTGAACCTCGGCAAGACATTGAAGGGAATTTCTGTAAAAACTGAATGTGTCAGTGGCATGCATCAGTACAAATACAGTGTATCTTCTCATGAGTCCTATAATTGTACAAGTGTTCAAACAGCCATTCCACTGGCCGAGCATACTTGGCCATGGTAACAAATCTTGGAATCAAGCTGAAAGAGGGCTTGGGTGATCGATCTCCTCCGACTCCAAAGTGAGCCTTGGTGTTTTCTTCTGCTCAAGTTGGGAAGAATTTAGGTTTCTCGGCGGTGGTGAGGCAGTAGCTCCAACACGAAGCGAGATTTTTTCGTAGTGATTGGTTAGCCTAAGTCTTCCGCGAGAGATCTCGAGAAGGAATATTCGCTGAACCTACTCGAGTTGTTGTTGATGGTGAGTACTGGAGGTGGTAAACCCGTCGAGAGCAGTGAAATTGCAGCCTCGATTCGTGAATTTTGCTTGATTTGCCTCCTAAACGATATCTGGTGATGAAGGTGTCGAATTCGCAGTTGAAGATAACCTCGGGCTAGAGTGTAATGCGCACGAGACTGGCCTCAGGATGCTCGCTTATCCCCCCACGGAAAGTCCGTGACTGTTCTTCTGTGAATACAAGACTGAAGTCCCCTCCGTAATCCAACCGTCCATACCGAACAGGAAGGTTTCTAAACGAGAGGGGTGGTATCCGAATTCGGTAGTTGCCCACCCTATGGATCTCGGAGACTGTGGCTTTCAGCCAACCTTTCTTGTTTCTCGTCCATCTTCCTTAAGCTTCTTTTAACACCTACCGACGTTTTTTCGCTCACAACAATACATCTCCAACCCACTGAAAACGCAGCTCCAGTGATTCAGCTCCAGCAAGTGAGCTCCAGGCCAATGAGTTAACAACACAGAATTACAGCATCCGTTGGTTCACTTGTATTTATTACCAGCAATTGCGCAAAGGCTCCCCTCATTGCTTTATAGCCCCAGTTCAAGTGGTCTCAAACTAAGATTGAGACTGGCCATGAAATGAGACGGAATAATCTTTAATGCATGAAGTTGGAACTTTGAAGGAAATTGCCAACAGCTATTTAAGGGTAAGAGATATGATGGGGAAAGTGTCATATTTCGCTGTTTTCACTTTCTGAACCTTGAAACTAACACCGTTGACGTACAGATGGGTCTGGGCATGAGACAAGTACATACAGACACGAGGAACATGTACCTACTTTAGATACCTGCCAGGTAACTTTTGTTACCCTGAAGGTTCCTCGTTACCCTGAACTAGACAATAATTAACATATATTCAGATTGAAAAGACGATATTACGCCACCCACGCGGCCGCAACCCCCAGGATGCACGGATTCACCGTATATTTTTCTCAAATGGAACACTGTCGGATGACATTCTTGGACACCCTTCGACCACGAGTCTACCTTCGACCAAGAATAAAGAAGGGTTTATTGGGAAATTGGCAGCTGTAAGGAGAGCTTCAATCAAAATTACCTCACTCTGATTCAGCTCGAATTGAAAGTCACAAACGAGACTTGTTAGGCATACCCAGCTCTAGTTTGAAGTGGTACGAGACTAACTCCGAGTATGCTTTAGTAACGGTGATACAATTCTGGGATCGATTGAAGATTATTGCAATCTTGCACACCAGACTAATTGCAATCCACTTTTGAGAGCCTATCCTACACATGACCAGAGAGGATCCTGCAGCAACTGAGAATTACTTTAGCTGTCGAGAGAGTTTTCAAACTGAACATAATCATGCTTTGTTGTATCTTGCTATCAATTGCCCGGTTGGCTCAGTCGGTAGAGCGTGTGACTCTTAATACATCTCAATCAGCGTCTGCTGGTGAAGGATTTGTTAGTGATCTCAAGGTCGCGAGTTCGAGCCTCGCATTGGGCTTTCATTTTTGTTCTATTTCTTTTGACTGATTGCTCTTACCGAGAACCCTTGCCGAAACGAAGTCTCTCCGGATCCCGAGCTCGCTATCAACCTTAAGCAACTGAAGTTTTGAACAGCGCTGTAGCCTAGCAATTATTAACGAAAGCGATTGGCTGTACGATTTGACATCAGAGACATCAAGCAGCTTAGCTTGTTCAGGTAAGAGGAGATAAATAACCTGCAGCAACCCATGCATAAGCTTTCCTCCCCTGCGCTACTGACGTAACCTCCACCAAGACAGCATATCGCCTTGCAATAATCACGAATTCTGCACGCACAAACCAATCCCGTGCGATCTCAACGCTCTCCATCTTACGTGTACTCGTTCCCAGCATCTTACGTATGTGAGTGCAGGGAATATGCGACAGGAGAGATGTCAGACATCGGGAAGGCAGATTTTTGGGAGACTCTAAAGGCCGTGAGTTGATGCACCATCCCATACTTTCTGTGCTCTAGTGTCGATTTCTTTTGAATTTTAAATTCATGATCAATTATATCGAAGAGCTACCTAGCTAATTCCAGTCATGAGAGTTGATGCTTTAGCTATTTATATCCTTGCAGCTGTCATATTGAATTCGAATACAAGTTCCAGGGAATTCTGCACCTCAACCCAGGACATACTAGCTCGATAGTTCCTACGAAAAGTTGGAAAAGCTCTAGAATATATATGTGCAATTAATATCGTGGAAACTTGGTAGAAACTTTAGAGCTCGAGGAAGCATACTCGAGCCGATATGCCTGATACCGCTCAAGGGCTGCGATGCTGATATAGATCTCCAGATGATCATATCTAGATGAGACAGGTATGTTTTTAAAACCTAATTAAGTTTTAAACTACTGCTATACTAGCTGACCGTTGGCAGCATCCGATCGTTCGAATGCTTTTAAAGTGAAGAAAATTGATATCGGCCCAGGCCCATTGGTGATCCTGAGGCGAGTTAAGTTTAACGATAACCTGAGAGGAGGCCTAGGCAGACCAACTTTCGGGAAGGTTTTGAAATTTAAACAATTTGAAGTTTGATGTCTCATTTCTATATATATAGCGCTTCTTATAATTATCAGATGTGTACATGTCACGGCCATTCTGACAATTGCAACATCGAATTCCAAGTCAAATTTGCAATTTCTAGTCGATTATGTACACAACTTTTGTAAACAGTTGCGCCGGTGCCTCGATTAGGAAATATATTAAATGTATCATCGGCCTCGAGTTCCTTCGAATGACATGTACATTTCGAAGAGCTCGCTTATAGGATAGATGTGCTCGTGAACATGTTAACATGTGGGTACCCTTTAAATTTCCCTGTGTCTATAATTGTTTTCCAGTAATATATTTTCGGAACAATATCGGCCGAAATATATGTTCATTGCCTTGACGTGTCCATGCGCGCATAATTATAATACGACAACGTTGTAATTATAGGCAGATCTAGATATATTACTCAAGTTAAGATTTTTTCTCCCTTGAGAACTTTTTATACATACCTAGGTACACATTTCAAGTTGCAGTCGTGGTAGGATGTATGTTCCTTCATGGGGCTGCAGCTGCTTATACTGAACATATGCATCATCATCATCATCATCATCATCATCATCATCATCATGATATTACATAGGAGGTACCTAGGTAGGTGGGAAGGTGAACTCTAGATCTCCCATACTTCCAGTGTCGTACGTCTGTTCAGCCAGCCCGACTCTTCAATGCTTCCATGCTCAATACCTTATAATTATAATAAGCGAACCGGTCAGTTTGCAAGAAATATTAACGATGATACCTACCTAAGTACATACCGCGGGGTCAGTGTAAACTCATAAAAAAAAAAAAAAACCTCCTTTCAGTCATGCTTATCGGAATTCGAAGGAATGGCGTTTGCCGGGGTTGGATGGGATTCGGGGGATTGAGAACATTGATTACACTACTCCATTTACCTAGGTAGATTATAACAACCCAAATGTTCCCAGAATTTGCCCCCGCACGTTTTTTTCGAATGGAGCCGTGACCGACTGCCTCCAGGTAAGCTCAGGGCGTTCAACCTTTTTTTTTCGCTGGAACGAAAACGAAGCAGGCGGGAGAAATCTAGAAGAGACAGTACTGTTGAAGTTATAAATGAGGTATATATCATTTTTATCATTATTACATTTCCATCGTATCTCCGGATCCCATTGCAACCCATCCATATCCATCCCACCGCGACGACAGCTACAAGCTTAAGCATAAGCTAATAGCTCTCTAGCCGACCATACTTGAACCAAGCCGTGAAAAAAAAAAGAAAAAAAACAATAAACCCCGGGCCGTTTCTTTTTTTTTCTTTCCCCGCCTAGGCCAACCTTTCAACCGATTCCGATTCCGTATCCATCCATCCATCCCATCCCATCCCATCAGTCGTAACGTGAACGTATACGTAGAGTGGCTACATCCTCCACCCACCCACCCGCCCACACGACAACCACAACCCTCCGATCCACCAGAATTGATTGGCTAGAATCGGGGGGGGGGGGTCGTCTATTAGGGAAAGCGGGTTAGTTAGAGTAAGCGGCATGCGCAGTCGTATCAAAGACGTAGAAAGGGAAGCTTCATAACAAGAAGGAAAAAACCCAAGAGCAACAAAGTTAACAACAAAGCTAGGCCCAGTGTATACAAAGCTTCCCCTTCTTCTTCCGACGCGTACTCGAGTTAAAGTACTCCCTCTAGACGCACTACCACAAACCACACTTGACCGAACCGAACCCAACAAAAAAAAACCACAAAAACAAAAAGGAAAAACATATTCCACATGAAAAAAAATAGAAAGGATCATAGCAAGATATCACAGCGGAAGCCAAATTCGTACATAGGAAAAAAAAAAAAGGACATAAAACAGATCAAATCGTATCGAGGACTCCCTCCGTAATCCTGCTACCCCTAATTGAACGGACCGACGGAAATGAAAAGAGGAAGGAAATAAAAAAAAAAGACAATTTCCCCGTTGCGTTTGGAACGTTGACCAATCATAGCCCCCACACGCACACGTACACATATACACACAACGCACCCAATTGTTGCTCTAACAAGCATCCATATGCAAGTAATTGGCAATGTTCAGCTGCTTGTTGCCCCCCACCAAATTAAAAAAAATCCCCCCCAGATTCCGGACCCCATGAAATTTTTGTGTAATTAGTTGTATCTTGAAAATTTGGCGGATTGATCTGAATCGGTAATTTTTTTTGTTTGGTAGTTGATGGTTGTGGTATGTAGAAGTAACTGTGTTTGTTGATGATGGTGATGATGATTAATTGATGGTCGGTCCCACATGTTATTATATTTCGCACCCCTAACTCCCCCCCCTCTCTACTCATGTTTCTCCTTGACTGTCATTTTCCGACACCGATGTCTACCGCCTGATACCCGTCGATCTCGACTCGCTACTCGAGCTCGAGCTGCCACTTCCACTCGAGCTATTCGACGACCCAGAGCTAGAACTAGACGACGTGGTTCCCGACGCCCCACTGCTGCTGCGGCTACCAGTACTTGACGTCCCAGTTGTCGTAGTCCCCGTGTAACTCGTGTAACTAGTCGCGCTACTCTGCTTCTCGCTTCCAGAGTGGTGTTGGGCGGCAAGATATCCTGCACCGAGCGCACCCGCGCCGAGGGCGGCATAACCGAGGCCGTGGTGATGGGTCTGTTGGGGCTGGTGGATTGGCGGGACGGCTCCGGCGGCGTAGTGGACTGGTGGGGGGGGCTGGTGGTAGTTGATCTTCTCGTTGTGCACGTCGTGGTCCTTCTTCTTTTTCGCGAGGAAAAACGAGCCGAGAGCTGCTGCGGCGCCGCCGGCGAGGGCGGCGAGACCGCCGTGGGAGCCGCCGCTTTGTTGGTGTCCGTGGGAGCCGCCGGGGGCTTGAACGTAGTAGTCTGTGTGGGTGTTTTGCTGCGGGTGTTTCTTCTTGCTGCCGAGAAGGGAAGCGAGGATGCCTGTTGCTGCTCCGGCGGCAAGGCCCGTAGCGAGGCCGCCGTGGCCGTGGCCACCACCACCACCACCGCCGACTTGCCCGTAGTGGATGGTGTGGTCAGTGTGGCTGTCGGATTTGCCGCCAAATAGGCCAGCGATGCCCTTGTACCCTTTGCGCAGGCAGCAGCAGAGGAGGAGGAGAATGATGAGGATAATACCACCGATAACACCACCGACGATACCTCCGATTTGCGCGCCCGTGAGGCCGCCCTTGTCGCCGTTATCTTGGCCGATCACGCCGCCATATCCGACGTCCGAGTTGCCCGAGGCGTCCGTGGGGATCGGGAACGTGTATGTATCTGTGGCCGTGACTGTAGCGCCTCCGAGCTTAGTATCCGAATTCTCCGCATCCTGTGTCGGCCGGGTCGGTACGTTCGGGTTTGCCGTAGTGTACGTGTATGGCGGGACGAAGGACGATTGTGGGGCCTTCGTCTGAGTCGGCTGGATGATATTGCTTGCGTCGACGCAGAGGGATGTATCCCAATTTGCACACTTCTGGCCGCTGCTACAACAACCGGTTCCACAGTAAGTGAGTCCCGCGCTCTGGTCGCAGAACTTGCCCTGCGGTAGGGCCAGCGGGGTCGGGATTGGGTTCGGGTTCGGGTGGGCGTCTGCCAGCGGGGCGGCGTGGACATGACTGATGGCGGCGAGCGCGAGCACGGCCGCGGAGAGGAGCGATCGCGGAATCATCTTCTTTTCTGGTTGCGTCGAGAGATGCGTTGTTTTGTCTCAATTGCACGCCCCTTATCGGTCTGATTCGCTTGGATGTGAGTAAACAAACACACGCAAACAAAAGGGCGATGCGACGGATGCGATAAACACGGGGGGTGCAATGTCGCGGGCGTGTGGGTAAGGAGAGGGTGAGGTAAGAGGAGAGTAGGCAATTTTCTGCTCACCAGTGCACGGAACACTTTGCTGCGGAAAAAGCAAAGCGCGGAGGGAAGGCTGCAGGGACGCTTGCGTTTTGGCGGATAG